GGAGGCGGGGCCTGCGCGGTGTGGCCACTGGCAATGCCCGAGCCTCCCTCTGTGGACCGGGTCAACCAGGACCCCTGCAACGGCTGGGAGGAGAAAGAGGGTGGCTCTGCCCGCCCCATGTTGTCCTTCGGCGTTTTGGGGACAGAATAGAGAGGAAGAGACGTTTGACTTAAGTTGTGTGGCAGGACTGAGACGCTATAGAGAAACAACTGGGAGGACAGTCCCTCCTGCCCATCTCTTCCTTCCCTAACAAAAGGCCTGGCATTTCAAAAACTCCTGCGTCTGCCCCAAATCAGATGAACCCTGGAGCAACCAGCTGGTCCTTGAAAACTATGGAATTCCACTTTCGAGATTTTTAAAAAGTGTTTTTCTTATAAACTTACGTATATTATGGACATTTTGGAAATTTTAGGAAAATGTTAGATCCTACATACCATTGTTTATATTTGGCATATTTTTTCACTGGCCTTCTACTTCATCTTTTTGAATACAAAAATACAAATTTTTGTAGTTCTTTTTCCCCTTGTTAATCTGTCATCAGCATTCTGTGTTGTTAACACTATCTTCACAAGTTATTTTATTTCTTGAGGTCATATAAGATTTTAATATAGTATATTCCGCTCAAAATTAGCAGATATTTTCCATCATTTCTCTGAAATATGCAACATTGCATTTTCTTATATAATATTGTAAGTTACAGTGTGAAGGTTGCTAACCCTTAGGCACTGTTGACCTGGCTTTAGGTGAAGGTATACCTGTTAAACTGCTTAAATTAAATATCAAAACAAAACGATCAGTTTTGGTTGGGAACAATAGGAGTCCAAAAAGATATTAGATTCCTGGAGCTTCAGGTTGAAGAAAGGGCTGAGATGCTGTTTATCACGTACTTTTTCATCCAAGTTGCTTCTGTTTGAAGAACTAAGGAAACACTACATTTCATAATGTGTCCTTTGTGAGAATTTTATAAAGCTTAGGTTTGACATCATAGCATAAGGGTACATGCTACAGAGGAGCTAAAATCCATGAAAAGGAGACCACCACTGCACAAGACGTCTGTCCAGTGCCCAAGGTGAGGGCTTCAAAAGGTATCATTTCTTTTCTTGCTGCTCAGTACGCTGCAGCAATCGCTGTACTTGTCAAGATTCCAGCAGTAATTGGCCCCAGGATGCCCATCAACAGGATGCTTGCAGACATGGACCTACCATGTTTGCGATGCCTGAGGGTGAAGAGGGCCAGTAATCCAGCTGGGACAGAAGAGAGAGGACGCCAGCCCACAAGAACATGCGATAGCACATCTCTGGGCATTAGGTCTGAGTCGCTCAAGAAATCAGACAGATGCAGTGAGCTAAGCAGCAGGGTTTATTAGCGGGGAATGAGAGGAAAAGTGGAGCCAACCTAGGGAAGTTAAGACTCGCTCGATTGCTCTTAGGGCAGGGTTTTTAAGTGCAAAAACCCATGAAGGGTAACTGGTTGGGATGTCAGAGTCTGATTGGCTAGAGCTGGTTGCTGGGTGCCATTTCTGCTGACATTGTTCTCGATATATCTTGTCAGGCGCAAGTTAAAGCTGCATCCTGTTATGCCGGATTGGCCAACCCCAGACCCCAGTCTTAGACGGGCATCTGTTTGTCCTGGGTAGGGTTGGTAGGCAATTTCCCAGGCAGGCATTTTCCCAGGCTTCAGTTTCCCATGGTACAGTTTTACCGCCTGGTGATTTTCAATTTCTCCTAGGCCTACCTAGGTCTGTTACTGGGAAGGAGCAGAAAGAAGGGGAGGTGGGGCACAAGTCCCGTTGCCCAAGGAGCCTGACAGCTTCAGGCTGAGGATCTGCTTCAGGAGCCTGGCTGCCGCCGCTGCTGCTGCTGCTGCTGCAGCACCCCTGGGGTTCTGCTCCCCTTCACAAGAGTCATTTTAAAGAGGGAATTGGGGGTTTTGGAAGGGGAAGAGAGAAAAAGGATGGCAGAGGTGTGTGTGTGTGTGTGTGTGTGTGTCTAAAGGTTAGATTTATCTTAGGGTGCACAGAATAACTCATCTCACGGAGCCAGGAAATAAGAATATGCAGGAGTTGTATGATGGTCAGGTTATACAAGCGGGGACCCCCAAAAACACTATAGTTGGAATTTATCTATAAAAATTGTGTATGTAGTCTTACATGTTTAAACTCCAGTCACCTTCAAAACACTCTCCATTTGATGTAATACACCTATTGAGACATTTTTTCCACTGCTCAAAACAGTTTTTGAACTTGTTGGTTTTGATGCCTTTCAAGTGCTTCTGCTGTTTTTTGTTTTACCTCTTCCACATTGGAAAAATCATTTTCCTTTGGGGACTTTTTAAATTCAGGGAAACAAAAAAAAAATGTAACTTGAGGTGAGATCAGGTGATTAGGGAGGGTAGGACATGGGGTCGTGACATTTTTGGTGAGAAAGTGCTGAACATTCAGCAGTGTGTGGACCAGTGTGCTTGTAAATCACCCATCATGAAATGGACAAATGAGTTGAGTCTTTTAAAAGTTTTTCACTGAAGCTGAACACAGCTTCTCACAACAATGCCAGCTGGTACACTGATACAGATGGGTTCCTGGAAGGCTCACCTAGCAGGGGAAGCCTGTACTACAAAGGGCCTGCCCTCCAGAAGATAATTCCAGGTTCTTTTTTTGTCCCCCCTTGTACTTCTAAATATTGGCTACTATTTCAAAAGTGCATGATGACCCCTGGCCAGGTGGCTGAGTTGGTTGAACCATTGTTCCATACACCAACAGATTGTGGGTTTGATTCCTGGTCTGGGCACGTACGGGAGGAAACCTACTGATGTTTCTCTCACATTGATGTTTCTCTCTTGCGTGCACTCTCGCTCTCTTTCTTCCTCTCTCTCTCCCCACCTGCCTCTGTCTTTAAAATAAATAATAAAAAAACGTTCATGAAGAAAACCACAAAACAGAAAAACAAAGTACATGTGACAAGGCCTCTCCCTGTCCTGTTCTCCTCCGTAGTCCTCCTCATCCCTGCCCCTCATAAGTGGACAGATGTTTTCACCTGAAGCCTTGGGAAACGGCAGTGTCCTGTGAGTGAAGGGAGAGGGCACGGAGATTTCAATTACAGAAAGAACTAGGTAACCAGCTTAACACGGGTGGTGCACAATGCATAAAGTACCAGCAAGTGTTTAAAATGTATACTACTCCATCTGTTTCCTAAGCCAATCTGATTTCCAGGGTAGAAGTGTTTGACCGTGTAAGCAGAGGCTGAGTTAAGGAATACCCAAATGTTCTTGTAACACTAGAATCATCAAACAATGAGTCACTTACAGTGGCTAAAGATGTTGATAAGTGTGGTGTGTGACAATCGGTAGATGCCCTATAAGCTGCATTATAATTTAACCTTTGACACTAGATGGTCCTTCACTAGGGCAAAGACTAAATTTTCCTTTTTCATTACAGCTTATAATCATGGGGCCTAAACCAAATACACACACACACACACACACACACACACACACCTGGAAAACAAGTAAAAGCTGATTATTCCAACAGCAAAGTTCCTCTTAAAGACTGGAATGATCTTTGTTTAAGAAAAATGCCTTATTGATTCCTTGAAGTTGGGAGAGGGAAGCTGAGAGTATAGAACATCAGCTAAGGTAGCGAAATTGCTCACCTGTGCTGCACAGGACCATCAGGGCATTTGCTTTGTTCTCAGGAGAGGGAAGAATGTAGATAAATGAAAAGGAGAGACACCGTGCAGAGAAAAAGACTAGCCGAAGAGAGTCAAAGTTGAAGAGCCAGTGGAAATTTCTCTGATGAGGGAGTGGCTATTGAATATTAAAAGGTGATGCTTGTGGTTTAATTTGAACCTGCTTGCATTTCTGGGATGTAAATCTGTCCTCTTGGGGGCAGGTCAAAAATTAATAGGGCTTTAAGGGCGGCAATAGGATTAGAAGAAAGATACTGGGAACTCATCTTAAAACTGTACTTCTAATTTTTTTTGAATTTTATGAGTTTTTTGAGGGGGAGGGGAAAGGTTTGAGAAACTGATGGAGAATGGTTGGGGCTCATTAAAGGCTCTCCCAGTGAGCTCGGGGTGCAGACGGTTGGCGCTACATAGCTGTCTTCTCCGTGTGTGTCCCCACAACACTCCTCCTCTGTGTGTCTTTCTCTGTGCGCTCACATGTGCTTTTTCACCTTCATGGCCGTTCTCACACCTTTCCTCCCCCTGCACCTGGCTAGTTCCTGTGGAACCTGTCAGTTGACAAGCTCCTTCCCAGGGAAGCCTTTCCCAACTCTGCAGACTTGACTGCGAGGCATCAGCCACTTACTGGTGCAGTGACCTTGGGGGAGTTGCTTAACCTTTCTGAAATGTTTTCTTTTTAATCTCCAAAATGGGAATAAGAATGCTTCATAATTCATATCCTTGTTATGAAAACTAAAGGAATTAATGTGTGGGAGAATGGAATGGGAATTCAAATGATGTAAATTTTGTGATTTAGAGGTTAATATGAGGGCTTATTTTTATATTTTCATGTGGACAGTGCTAGGTTAACACTGCTAAGGTATTAAAATTTTACTGGATACATTTAAGAGAGTGACTAATTTTTAACGTTAATATTTACAATACATTAGGAATAATATCTTTTACAACTCTTTATTATGAGAAATTTTGTCAACTAATGTATTGGGAATTTTTTAAAAAAATTCTTTTGTGAATATAAGCTAACCTCTTAGAAGACAACTGCTGAGAATTGCTTTATCAGAGAGTTTATCCAGAGAGTTGACTACGTTCTCACCCTATATAGTGCCCAAAGGGAAAGTGAAGGGACTTATTTATACGTCCTCTTCCCTAGCACTGTCTAGAACAGAATTGAATTCAATCAACCCCGCTCCGCCACTCACGAAGTCTGTAGTAGCCACTGGCGACCAATAGGTGGCACTCATTAAAATGCTCCAGTGGGCGGGCCGCCTGATCACGCCTTTCAGGAGCGCGGCGGTGTCTCTCGGCTTCCGTAGAGCACGAGCAAGATGGCAGCCTCCGAAACTGTTAGGCTACGCCTTCAGTTTGATTACCCGCCGCCAGCCACCCCGCACTGCACGGACTTCTGGCTTCTGGCAGACTTGAACAGATGCCGAGTAGTTACGGATCTCATTAGCCTTATCCGCGAGCGCTTCGGCTTCAGTTCTGGGGCTCCCCTCGGCCTTTATTTGGAGGGGGGTCTGTTGCCCCACGGCGAAAGCGCACGTCTGGTACGAGACAACGATTGCCTCAGGTGCGCGCGGTGCGGGCGTGGGGTGTGTCAGGGTGGCGGTGGACCGGGGATGCGCCTGCGTACGCCCGGGTTTGGCTCAGGCCCCTAGAGACCGCGAGTGGGTGGGACTCTAAAACTGCACTTTGATTACCCGCAGAGATTCTAATTAGTCAGTTATGAGGTTCAGGAAACTGCATTGTAACGTGCATGCTTCCCCGGGTGCTTCTGATGTAGGTGGCGAGCAGAGCAAACTTGGAAAAACCCTGATTTTCGTGTGTGGGCAGGGCCCAAGTTTCATTCAGCCTTGGTCTAGCGAGCGCTTCTGTAGCCTGGCACTACCTTGCGTGTGCACGATGCAGACGTGCCGGAGACTCGGCCATCCCCTGACGATGGGTCGCAGGGTCGGGCGCGAGAGATCCACGCAAGCACAGGAACAGTCATGTTCTCTTCATAACGTTGCAGCTTGTCCAGACTTAGTGCCCCTGCGAGATCCCCTGAAACTTCTGACGGGTGTCATTCTGCGTCTCACCTGGGTCTTTGGGATCTCTGGATTGTGCATTGGGAAACAACGGTTTTAAATATGCCTTTGGAAATTTTAGAAAAGTGATACTGAGATGAGTATCGAGGAGCAGTTGTGGTATAAATTGCTCACGTGTGGTTTTGTCACAATGAAATGGGTTATTATCTTGTTCTAATTTATTCAGGGCTTTTTAAATGGTCACCTGAGGATATATTTATTGATTTTAGAGGGACAAGAAGGGAGAGAGAGACATAGAGATAGAGGGGCATCTATGTCAGAGAGAAACATCGATCAGTTTCCTCCTTTATGCACCCTAATGGCGCGGGGGAGTGGGGGAGGGCCCGGAGTCAAACCAGCATCCTAGGCATGTGCCTGACAGGGAATCCAACCCAAAACTTTTTGGGGCACCTGAGGACGCTTCAACCAAGTGAACCACCCAGCCAGGTCTCAGGGCTTCTTTTTGAAGCTCTAGCTGCATTGAAACAATTCTCGAGTTGTGAACCAGGCTACTTCCTCTTGCTTGTCCTTTGTTGAATGTTCTTTTCCCCAGAGCATGTCAGGTTCATGAGATTTCTTTAAAACGTCAGGGAATTCAACTTGGGACGATTACTCCGTGTGTGTGTGTTTGTGTGTGTGTCTCAAAATCAGTAACACTAAGATGTATTAACATTTAGCCGTTTCTAATGACAATTTGAAATAGTCCAAATTATTTTTCCTTTTTATTCACTGTGAAATAGATTTTTCTTTTCTTTGCAATTCAGGGACTATTTAAATAGTATTAGAATTGTGAATTCTAAGTTTAGTGAATTCTCTCTTACTAAGAATTTAAGTGAATTCTCTCTTACTAAGTTTACTTTGATAACTATCCCTTGCCTAATGAATGAATAACTTGCTCCTAACTAACCACAATTATACTTCAAATAATGAATCATCTGGGAGTTATGCTTTTTATAGTGATGTTAACAATGTCAAAAGCAAACCATAAAAGTGTGATAGGAAATAAATATAGTACAATGGCAGGCAGAATTCCTTCTAAATGTTTCAGATGAACAAACATATAGTAAATGCCTCTGCAGCTGGCTTCATTCATAAATGGGGCAGACCTTAGGAAAAAAGTGAATTTGGAAAAGTTTTTGTTAGAACATTTTTGTGGTTTCATGTCCCCAGTCAGTCTCTGTCTTCCCCTGACAGACTCACTCTTCTTCAGAGCTGCAGAGGAGAACAGTCTCTTTTTTCAGAGGCGCTTAATATTGTTGGAGTAGACTCTGATAACTAGTTTTGTGCTTTCGCACGTTGTCCTTGGGTGTGGCACAGGCAGCAGGACTGGATCACCATATTGGGCTCTGCCGCTAAGCGCAGGAGTTGGTTCGGGAAGGAGAGATCACTCGGGGGACAGGAATGGCGAGGGAAGGGAGAAGTATCTTGAAGGACGGGTGGGAAATGTTGGCTGGCCTGACACCGGTGAGACAAAAACCAGCCTGCTATGGTGAAGAGAGCAGTCTGACCAGCAGCGGGGTTCGGTCGGGGTGGCTGGGGGTGCTGCTGAGAGAAGTCTGATGGGGAAGGTGGTGCCGACTGTGGGAATCCTGAGGGACAACCCTAGAGGCCTGAGGGGCGTTCTCCGACCTGTAACCAGGGGTGTCCAACTTTTTGGCGTCTCCGGGCCACACAGGAAGCAGGAGCGTCGTCTTGGGCCATACGTTAAATACATTGCAACACATAGTCACAAAAAAATCTAATGTCTTAAGTAAATTTCCAATTTTGTGTTGGGCTGCGTTCACATGCATCCTGGGCTGCACGTGGCCCTCGGGCCCCTGGTTGGACACATGGCTTAAGCCACCCACGGCCCTTTCCTCGCTGTCCATTCTCTGAGGCCCTCAGAATCTGACTCCTTCTCCTCCCAGGCTCTGACAGTGAGCTAGCTCCTCACTGATTATCTCAGGGAGTACTATAGTTGGTATTGTTACCCCATCTTTACAGATAAGAAAGGTTGAGGTAACGGTAGTGGCAGAAGGATTTGAATCCAGACGATCACTGTGGCCTCGACAGACAGTGATAGGGGGTGTCAGGCAGGGCAGATGGGCACGTCTTTGCTTTTTTATGATAGGTCCTAAAAGTGAATCACAGATTTAAAGGGAACACCTTGTTTCTTTCTTTCTTTTCTTTTTTCTTTTCTTTTCTTTTCTTTTCTTTTCTTTTCTTTTCTTTTCTTTTCTTTTCTTTCTTTCTTTCTTTCTTTCTTTCTTTCTTTTCTTTCTTTCTTGATTTTACTTATTTATTTTTAGAGAGGGGGAGGAAGGGAGAAAGAGAGGGAGGAAACATTGGTATGCGAAAGAAACACTGATCGGTTGCCTCTTGCATACCCCCAACTGGGTGCTTATCCCGAAACCCAGGTGTGCCCTGACAGGGAATTGAACCAGTGATGATGCCCAACCCTGTGAACCACACCAGTCAGGATGGGAGCACCTTGCATTTTGATAATACTACCCAGTTTGTCCTGCAAAGAGTTTGAATGAACAATGGAGGTTCTGTTTTAAAATTTCCTTGGAATCAAATCTCCTCCATCACTGATTACAAGGTAATTCATTTCTCTTTGTAAAAGGACAGCTACATCTGTTATCTGACCCAGGTAGAGAAACGAACGTTGCCAGGGAAAGTGCATACCCTGAAAGGAATGGTAACTAAGCAGGCCCAGGGGAACCATTCCTCATTCTCCAGATAGCATTTTGTCTCTCGGTCTTAACATGTTCCATAAGGAAACTGTTCTCTTCAGGAATAGCAGGGAGTGAGGCTGTCGCGGTTGCAGGTCCTGCTTTCCTGGCAACTGTGCACAGATCCATTGTCTTCAAAGTGAGTGCCGTGCTGCCACGAGCTGCTTTGGAAAGCACGTGGGGCCGCAAGCTCCTCTGAAAGGCAGGGGTCCTGTGCATACTAGATGCAGCACGTGCTGTGCTCCAGGATTTTAATAAGCCACAGTGACAGAATGTCTTGCAGCCGTTTTCAAAGTGGATGGAAGGTTTGGTTCTAGTTGGTTGTCTCAGAATTGAAACTCGAACCCAAACAAATTGATTAAGAATAACAAGGAACAGTCGGATGTGCTGGAAGTTCCGCAGTACTTCCTAGAAGCACAGGATGCCAAGCTCGCTTTTGCCGGTTTAAGGAGCACTTCCTTGCTGCTTGATGCTGAAGGTTGCAGCTGGGAACAAAGGGTAAAATGTTTTTGTAATTTAAATCCCTGACCTTTCAGAGTTTTATTTCTCTCTTCATTCTATTCATGATATCAGTACCTTTTACCTTGATGTGTATGTGTCTGTGCATTTGTGTAGCCTGAGGATAATTGAGGGTTTTTTCCAACTATACATTGAGATAAATCTACAGGATTGCTATTTCTTAAAAAATGTATGGAATACTTATACTATGTCTTATTATTCACCAACTGTACCTTATTTTCAAATATGATTGTTCACATCTTTTCCTGGTCACTAAAAAAGAAAACCTCGATGGAATATATAGCTAGATGTAAATGTATTGAAAGCATAATGTGTGTTTTTAGCAGGCATTTTTGAGAACCCACTATGTACTCGACATTGGGGACCCTCAGCTCTCTGTCATGGGGCTGCACACACTAGACTTAGCTGTTTCCAGTTAATGAAGGAACAGAATTCCTTTCCTGTAGTGAAATAATTTTTGATGCGTGTATTAGGGTTCTCCAGAGAAACAGAAGCCAATAGGAGATGATATAGACATAGGTACATAAATATAGATATGAGATTTATTATCAGGAATTGGCTCAGATTACGGAGATTGAGGGGTCCCAGGATCTGAAGTCGGCAAGTAGGAGACCTAGGAAACCTATTGATGTAGTTCCAGTCCAAGTTCAAAGGCCTGAGAACCAGGAGAGTTGACAGTGTACGTTCCATTCTAGTTTGAGTCGTAAGGCAGGAGAAGATTCCTGTTTCCTCTCAAAGACCCTTGGGCAGAGAGAGCGAATTCTGACTGGTTCAGCCTTTTATTCTACTCAGGCCTTCAGAGGATTGGGCGAGGCCCACTCGCTTTGGGAAAGGTGGTCTGCTTTACTCAGTACACTGCAGGTGTTAATCTCACCCAGAAACTCCCTCACAGACACACCGAGGACAATGTCTGACCGAATATCTGGGCACCCCAGGGCCCAGTCAGGTTGACATACAGTTAATAATCACAAAGTGTGATGGAATTTTATGATGCTCCCACTAGCCCAGAGAACATAAATTGTTCAGTCCTTACCCAAATTTAAACAAAATAAAAATAAAATCTGATTTTAAAAAGCGGTCCACATTTGAAAACAAAGTGGATACTTGACATTATCACTGCTGGGGGTTCGCAAGTAATAGAGTGGAGAGATTGCGAAGTTAGACCAACTGAGGTTTGAGTCCCATTTCTGCTATTCTTAGGTATGGATCTTTGGCAGCTTGCTTCTCTGAACTGTAATTTTGTGATTTTTTTTTTTAAGGATTTTATTTATTTATTTTTAGAGAGGGAAGGGAGGGAGAAAGAGAGAGAGAGAAACATCAATGTGTGGTTGCTGGGGGCCGTGGCCTGCAACCCAGGCATGTGCCCTGACTGGGGATCAAACCTGCGATGCTTTGGTTCGCAGCCCGCACTCAATCCACTGAGCTACGCCAGTGACTTGTTTTAAATGAGAAATACATACTTCATGGTGTTGTTTAGAGAAAATGTATAGAAAATGTTTGGGACATAGTAGATATTCAATAGATAAAATTATTCATTTGAAAGTTGACTATAAGTGATACTATATAAGCCATTTTGTCCAAGTGAGTCTTTTGTCCTTAAATGATTTGATGATTTTTAATTGACAGAGAGCAGTGACAGTTTGCAGTCATCTCAGTATGTATGACGATGTCCTGGAGGCATAGTTACTCAGTTTTCTCTCTTGTTCTTTTGATAGAGTGAAATTAGAAGAGAGAGAAGTCGCTGAAAATCCTGTAATAGTCAGTAATGGTGATGGTACTGATTTCTTACCAAGAAAAGCAAAGAAGCGGTCATTTAGGTTGGAAGAGGATCAAGAAACTGATTACAGACACTCAAAGAAGCCCTGGAAGAGGCAAGAGAACAGCAACGAGAACACCTTGGATCTAGAACCGAAAGCTGTCACAGATGAGAGTGTGAAGAAAAAAAACAAGAGGAAAAACAAAGCCACATGTGATGTGGTAGATGATGACGATGGTGATGGTGAAGAGATGAAAAAAAAATCACCAAAGAAAAAGGAGAAACGTGTAAACAGAAAACAGACAAAGAATCCCAAGTCTTCTAAAGCACAGACGGCGAAAGAGTGGACCGTCCAGAAGGGTAGTCCTCCAAGAGGTTCTCCCGCCAGAAACAGCCTTGTTAAAGCCAAAAGGAAAGGTGGCGTGGACATTCGTGCAAAAAATAGTCCCAGTGCCTCCTCAGAGTCTGAGTCTTGTCATGAATCCACCAGTGATGGTCTCAGCAATGTCACCTTAGAGGTCAGGAAGTCCTCAGAGAAAATATCAGCTGCATTATCACAGGAAGGGCCCTCTATAAAAAACACAGCGACAAACAGAGTAGCCACAAAAATTACTTTTAACTCCATCCCCATCGAGGACAAGACAACCAGAACATCATCTTCTAGTTCAGACTCTAGTTCAGAGTCAGAGGATGAATCCGTGGTGCCCAAGAGATCCCTGAACAAGGCTGCGGGTCTCTTAAAGGCAGCAGGCCCGTTTGCGGGGAGAGGCTGTCCAGGCCCAGGGCTGTTGTCACAGACTCCACATGCCGTGGGGTGGAAGCACAGTGACTCAAACAGTGGCAGACAGGCTCCTGGCCCTCCTCCCAACGTGACTCTCCCCTCCAGTCTGGGAAGAGGCTGGGGTAGAGGAGAGGACCATCTTTCTCACAAGGGAGTCAGGGGCCGGGGCATGCGGGGGAGAGGTCGAGGGCGAGGGCTCGCTCTTCCTTGTGCTTTAAATAGAAATGCTGACTATCAGAAGCAGCAGCATTTAAATGAAGTGTTATCAAACTCATCTACTATTATCCAGGCAAGTAGTATTCATTGTGAGTTCACCACTTCCCCCTTCCCCAGTCGTGTGTCTGCAGTTGATGTCATGGGTTCACATTTTCTTGCCAGTGACAAAGTTACATGACTAATATACATTGTTTTTCAGAATCCAGTAGAAACACACAAGAAGGATTATAGTCTGTTACCGCTGTTAGCGGCTGCCCCCCAAGTTGGAGAAAAGATCGCATTTAAGGTATATTTTAAAACAGCAACAGGTACAACATAAAGATTATCCCCCCCTCTAAGCAAACGTACTCATTAGCAGTGTATATACACATGTATGAGTATATGTATGTACACATGTGTATATGTGTGTGCTCGTATACATGTACACACACATCCTTCCTGCCCAGATCATCTCTCATGTTCCCGTGCCTAGCGTGTGGGAGGTGCCCAGGAGTTGTTGTCTAAGTGAATAAAAATGGCTTAGCCTGGTGTCTGGAACACAGCAAGTGCTCAATAAAAGAGAGCTATACACATCACCCCCCTCCCCCAACCACTGGAACCCCTGTTTAGCTGCAGGTTCACGGTCGGCTCCGCATGTTTTCTCAGAGATGGAGGAAAGGAGCCACAGAGCTTGTATATTTGTGGACTTTTCCTTTTTCTTTTCTTTTTAGCTTTTGGAATTAACATCTGATTATTCTCCTGATGTCTCTGACTACAAGGTAAGACTTTGTATTTAAAAATAATTGTCAGGCCCTGGCTGGTGTGGGTCAGTAGCTTGGATGCAGCCTGCAAACCAAAAGGCCGCCGGCTGGGTTCCTGGTCAGGGCACTGGTCTGGGTCTCGGGCAGGTCCCTGGTTGGCGACGTGCACCGAAGTAACCGATCGATGTTTCTCTCGCTTTCTTTCTTCCTCCTTTCCCCTCTCCCTAAAAATAAAGTCTTTAAAAAAAAACAGCAGCACTTTAAAAAAAATAAAAAAAATAATTGTCAGTATCTTAAAGAAGCTAAAGTCATATTTAATATTGCTATTATGCATAATACAGATGTTTTTGAGTAAATGTCATAAAGCAGAAAATGAAGACATTACCAAACTGTAAACTTTTTAATAGCATTACTATGAAGTCTCCCAGTGTTATTTTCCTTACATTTGGGGAGAATGAGAATTACAAGTTTCATTTTTATTTTACTCAGTTTTTTCCTAATCATCTTAGACACACAGATTTATTTGAGGACCCTTCCCCCATGATCCTACACTTTGAAAGAAAATAATAAATAGCCCTTAGCCAGAAAAAGTGATTGTTTTCATCATTGCAATATATTTTATGCTTGTAAATTACTACTGCTTAGTGTAGTCTAATAGGGTTTCTTTTGCACTGTCAGTTATTCACACGTAATTCACAAATACTGTCTTTGAAATGTACTCACTTCATACCTGTGCTGGGCTTCCTGCTGGCACCCGTGAGTGTCACCACAGCCGGTGGGAAGACAGAGCTGCCTGTTCCTCCCCTTCTCACCCAGTCAGCATTGTGTTGACCACCTGGTGAAAATCCATACTTTCTTATTTTGGTGTAATATGCCGAATGTAGGTTCATTTTTTAAAGGTAATACTTGATCATTTTAATACAATATCAAAGATAAAGTACAAGGAGATTTGATTTAATCCAAGTTCGTACCTTGGAAGACTTTTAAAATCTTAGTAGAGGTTTTCCTCAAACACAGGTGAGAAGAAGAATCAGTTCACGAAGGGAGTAGGTGGGTTGCTTCTGGGTATTTGGTGCTTTATCATATTTTCATCTTCTTAGTCCCTTAATACAGATCACCATGTAATTTATCATCTGAGGGCACTTGTGATTGGAAAGGATTAATATTGTACAGATGATTATACAAGAGTGAAATGTGAATGGCCCTGTTTGGGGCAAGTACAGGATATTTTGTCACCCTACATAAGTAACTAATTTAGTTCCATGATATATGAGGAAATGGAAATATAGAATTGATATATCCCACAACCTCTACAAACTAATTCTAGAAGATGCTAATTTTTTAAAATTTCCATTAAGGTGATGATGGTCATCGTAGTTATTACCTTGGAAAGCTGTTTGCTTACTGATTTCCCAGTAATGTTAGAGCTTTTTTGAAATTGCTTTCAAAACCGTTTCGAGAGAGAACATGGGTCCCACTCTCCTGCTTTGCCCACAAGCACTGTCCCCCTGCTCCTTCGCTGGCTTTGCTTTTGTGGCTTGCCTTCGGAAGTCTGATCTCTTCCAAGAGTGCAGTCTCAGCTCAGCTGACTCGGCCGCATTTGTACCCGTGGGATTTTAATTTATGGAGGTGACTGAGTGACGACACAGAGAAGCCAATGCTACCAACAGAGGGATTCATTACGTTTCCTGAAGGGGGGGGGGGCAGTGCCCCGCCCCGTGGAGCCGAGGAGGAGAGCACCTGGGTGTGGTCAGGAGGCCGAGCAGGAGTGAGGGGCCAGCCTGGGCTGGAGCCCTCCCTGGCCTCCCCTGGGGGTAGGCGAGGCAGGGTGCAGGAGACAGTTGGCTAGTGTCAGTAATGATCAGGCTTTGGTCTGTGGGGCTCGTAGATGTGGTACCTGACCCTGGGGTAATTAAGATCAGGGGAAATACTAAATACTGGCTTGGTGTCTGGGAGTTTCATTTGCTCTCTATTTTTAAAAAGGTTTTTCTTTATTGAGATAAAATTTACATCACATAAAATTCACCATTTTCACAAATTTAATTGTTCGATTCAGTGGTTTTAGTATATGCATAACGTTCTGTGTGTTGATTTTTGACTTGGACTTTTATTTTTGAAAGGAGGGAAAAATACTAAGCCAGAATCCAGAGACCCAGCAAGTAGATATAGAAATCCTTTCATCCTTACCTGGTGAGTCTTTTAAAAAAGAATTTTAGAACGTAGTCTTTTCGTATCTGCACTGGTTTCTTAGTAGCTGTGTCCGCAGGGGCTGCGGTCCTCAGCAGCCTCGGTGACTCACTGGTGCCCCCGGCTGGTCAGCACAGAGCACCCGGGGCCTGTGCTCCGTGCTCTGCGGTGGAGAACTGCATCTGCTAATGGTGTTGGATTTGCTCCCAAAGCTGTTAGGCAACTTGTTCTTGTTACTGTAACTATGTAATTTCATAAAAGTTGTATCAACTGATGAGAATTGATTTCAGAAAGAACTGTTTGTATGAAACCTAAGTTGAATGCTGACTCAGGAGTGTGCTGCTAGAAAACTTGCCCTGCCATTGAGTTTCGTGTGGGTGGGTCAGCTATATATGGGGTTGGGAGAAGTTCGATAAGAATGGGGGAAGATTTTGTACTTAATTTGCCTTGCTAGTGTTTGCATTCTTGTATCACTTTAAAAAAACTCAAAACTGGAAATGTGCAAATTGCAGATGTGCATTAAGGGTGTAATTTGTAAAAGAAAGACAGCTCTTATTGGTGGATTTGTAAGATCTATTCAGCTCTATTTCCAAAGATTGACAAATGAACATATTTTTGTGTTAAGTTGAAATAAAGTGTAGAGTATTTGTGTACACACACTCTTCCACCATTCTTCTGCTTTATGCCGGATTGACCCCACCCGTTATCGGCTCTGAAATCCTGGAATGAGAGGGCTTTTACTGTATAAGGCTTAACTTGGGTCGTGCTGTACAGGTCACTGGCCAGAGACCAGGGGAGATCCCCCCTTTTTTCAGCAGACTCTTGGGCAATTAGTTTCTGTTTGCGTGTAAATAAGATAGTAAAATAATCAAAACCACAGTTCTCAGAAGTTAGTTGAAAGGGTTTTTCAACAAAGTTTCTTTATGATACGGAGTAAATGATTAGATGTAACCTACACTGGTTTTCCAACTTTATTCTGATTAGTCTTGTTTGAAGGGATCCCCCTTGGGCATGGTGGACAGAGAAATTTGCCCATAGTCACATTCCGAGGGCATGGCCTGACCACTGCTTGTCAGGTGATTGACATTGAATTAGATATCATCAAATCAGATGACGTTGAATTGGAACTTTTCGTCTTTGGGGCATCAAGGGACAGCTTTATCTGTTTCCTAATAGAAATACAGGTAGTGCTTGCTTTGCAGGGTTCTGATGTCCACGTACTTCAGTGACCGTGGTTTAGGTAGATAACACAGTCCCCCACCGATGGGGGGATATCCACTGAGAGTAACCACATCATGTCCCGCCAGCTCTGTGGGCCGCACATCATTCCGTAGTAACAGATGCCCACTGTGATCAGTGACCAATCATGTCACTTCCTTCAGAGTCTTGGTGATCGGTCACTGTGCTTGTTACTCAGTTCAGTTCCCACACACACAGCGAAGTGTGGAGTTTTGTGCTTCCTTGTCCCTCAGTGATACACCCACATGATGTTTACAAAGTGGATGGTGTTGAAATAGGGAATTGATCAGCAAAGATGAAAACACAACAGAGAAGCAAAAGAGTGACCTCTGAATCAAGTTGAAGTAACATTATAGAAAAAATCGCTAACTCTGGATGCACTGATACCAGTTTATATGGACCTCTCGACATAAATGAGAAGGCTGGTTGTGGGAGAGGGATGGCGGTGTCCTAGAAGTAATAGCAAACAATTTCCTAGGACTGTGAAAAAAACAAACTCTCAGAGCTATTTCATGACATTAAAGGCTCGAAGGGTAAAATATTGAAAGCTGACCCAGACTTAGAAATGAGCGTGACAGCTCTGCAGGGCAGAGAACAGGTGTTTGCTCCGCACTGCTGTCGCCTGGTGAGGCGAGCACTGCGCAGATGGCCTTGGCGGGGGTCTGACAGACACACAGAGCGCTTCAGTTCTCAGTGTTTCTCATGTTTTCGATTACTGTGGGCTCCGTAAACACTGGCTTTACTTCTTTTCATTTCCTTATGCAGGAAAGGTTTTAATGTTTTTGTTAAAAATGTTTTAATGATCGTGAAACAACCATAATTTTTCTCATTGAATGTTAAGATTGTTTTGCGTGGCTTCAGCTTGCATGGTCATTTTTGGGGTCCACACCGCCGTACAGAGTGAGGGCTGCTATGTCACCAAGCAGTACGCATGTATGATTTCTCAGGACAAAGCAAAATGTAAGGATTTTGCAAAATTCAGATTATCTTCCCTTGTTGAAACACATTAGTTATCCTTTAGGATTATCTTGTCGTTGTACATTCTTCTCTGGGGGTAGTAGCAATAGTGTATGAAGCTGATTTCTCTTTGCTGAAGGAGAGATCGTCTCTGGTAGCTGGCCCAGGAGCTCCGGTCTGCTGGTGCGGGGCTTGCTCAGCGTCTCCTGTCACGGAGCGCTCCGTGCTTGCATGTGCGTACCCAGCCCCTGTGTCAGTGGACAGTGTGTTCGTGGTTGTGTTTCTGACGTTACAAATTCCCTGTGGAGGAACGTCTTCACTCCTGGGGAATGACTGACTGCCTTTCCTCCCTGCTGTCTGCTTTCAGCCATGAAAGAACCGGGGAAATTCGATCTGGTTTATCACAATGAAAACGGAGCCGAGGTAGTGGAGTATGCTGTGACACAGGAGAGAAGGGTAGGTGCGCGTCTCCTCTTGGGATTGGTCCATGGTCTGTTCCCTCTCGACTGGGGACTGACCGCCTGTCTGGAAGGGGACATTGCAGCTTCCTGAACTGCCCAGGTTAAAATCACAGAGAGGGGGTGGGTGGGCTGGAATGGGAGTAAAAGGGAGAAAACTGTACTTGAACAATGATTAAAATAAAAAAAAAAAGTACAGTGGAGTTAAGACATTTGTGTACTGAGTAGTACAGACTGGCAGAAGACGGTTTTGTGAATATGAAAGTTGGTATGAATCTAACCGTCCATTTTCTGGAAAAAAAAAGTGCATTTCTCTCAGAATGAACAATAATGAGCTCTTTCAACATTAGTAATTCACACTGAAATGGGACTCCCTTGAACAAAACAGGTTTAATTAAACATGTTGCACAGTTTATAACATTACTCTATGTATTTCTTTCAGTAAAAGTTGAAATGTCTGGCAATTCTGGTAATACAAAAAAAAAGTCACAGAGAGGGTGTCTGTCCTGTCTGCAGGGTGGCATGTGAGCACCAGGTGTCAAGTCGAGGCCCCACTGTGGGCCTTAAAGAGCCTATATGACAAGATGCACAGATAACACACTCTCAGAGTGTGGAGTTGCATAAACTTACAATGTGTGAGGTTATATAAAAGGGTCTCGGCAGAACAGGCTAGCATATTTTACAAGCTTTTTATTGGCGTTCCAATTCAGAAAAGTGAATATAAGTATAGCCCGAACGATTTCCACACAGGAACTTACGCATGTAGTCAGCACCCGGATGGAGAACCTTCACATCCCCTTCCGGAAATCTCCGTCAGGTCTCCTCCTTGTCACTGCGGCCCCTCCACTGCCACCACGATTCTGACCTAAAACAGCACATGGACAGTTTGAAGAATGGCATAAAATGATGATTCTGCCTTTTGACTTTGTTTAAATTCCTAAGTTGCCATTTTAGGAAGAATATTTTTTGGAGCTTTTTAGGCAGCCAGACTAGTTGCTGGTGATGGGCGTCACTATGCTCTGCTAGCATTAGAGAAAAAAGACTTTATGGGCAAGAAAATGCTTCTTGCTACGGTGTTTATATTTGAAATGTTGTGGATATTATCCTATAAGTTTTAGTATTGCAAACTTAACATTTTATCTGAAATGTAGAAACCCTAACATGACTTTTTGCTTTGATTTGTCTCTAAGATTCATGACATTCTTAGAGATTTATTCTAAAAACACGTTTTTAGGGTGTGTGGTAGGGTCAGCAGATTTTTCCCAGTCTTCTCTGCTTCTTTATTTGCAATGTATTTAACCTCATTGTTTTTTGTTGAAATGTGTTCTTGGAAACTGCTAGAAAATTAAACTGTGGAGGCTTTCCTCTCAATGCCTTTTTAAACAGAGGCCTGAAGCAGAGCCAGTAATGACCTTTTTTGGACACTAGATGGCCCTCATTCATCTGCAGTGTTAGAGTTTGCTTTCTGTCCGTAAAATGTGAGCTGCCTCCTATTGTAAGCAGCACAGCGTTAAGAACTGCAGAGCTGCACAAAAAGGCATCAGCAGTCTAGTAATAGCCCTTTTAGGCCACGTCCGTTTCCGCAGAGGTCTGCAGGCTGCCCATCCACAGGAGCTTGTCTGGCAAACCCTCCCGAACCTTTGCACCAGCTACCCCTCACTCCACCCTGTCCTCCACAAGCCCTACTCTAAACCAAAGAAGGATGAAATGTGCTCCGCACAAAATTTAGCTGCTCCTGCAGGAAACAAGTTTTTAACCCTAATTAAACATAGTTTATTGGGACTGAAATTATCCCAGGTCTTCAACCATTCTGCACAAATGGAAATCTACTTGACTGAAGTTTGTAACTGACTGAAATTTACACGACCTCAAAATGAAGTCTCTGAACTGAATATTTTGTATTTTTCCTCAGATCACTGTTTTTTGGAGAGAGTTGATTGACCCAAGACTGATTGTTGAATCTTCAAATAACACATCAAGTATGGAGCTTGCCTGAGTGTGACGTCTCCACCTCATAGTTCATAAATGCCTCGTTTGTGAGAGTGACTATAACCAGAACTTTTAAAAAAGATCTGAAAGTTGTATGCATTTTTTCTTCTCTTTACTGCATAGGAAAAAATATCTACCTCATCATTTAAAATACATGGGTGTGTTGCTTTTCCAGGTTTAATTTCAGTAACACAAATTTAAAATACGACATTCCCTGTAGGTGTTGTTATATACCAGTACATATGGTTTCTTGTGTTTTTTACTTTATTTTTTGGCCATCAAGTAGCCATTGTCAGAAACAGTTTGTGAATACCAAGTACAAGAAAGTGCTGCACATCTTGTCTCAGTAAGATTTATTAAGTAACGTAAAACATGAATGCATGTTACTTGACCTAATTTTTCACATTTGAGTTGTTCTATTAAATGTGGAACAAATTTCAAGTATTTTCTACTTGTAATTGTCAAGAACTAATGAATAGTGGGGTTTGTTACAGGCAGTAAGTTAAGCAATCCTTTTACTTATTTCTCAACTTTAAAGTAAAGGGCTCTCAGGGCCCCGTGTGGAGCAGTGCACGGGAGGCCTGGTCTGTGCACTGGGGGAAGATCTCCTGTTCTGAGTGCTGAGAGGGTTTACTGTGCGTTCAGGCCAGGAATGTGTTATCTTGCCAGAAGGTTGCAAGCCCCCGGCTGCGTGTGCTGGAGTGAGGATCTTGAACAGAAACTTCCGTTCCTGTGATTATTCAATACGAAGCTAAAATGATTAAATATAGACTGTGAAAATCGCTTTCTTTTAACAAAAGATCAGGTCCCTCCTTCAGCTTTGCAGATTTTTAAATAAAGTTATATTAAACTAAACTTCCATGCTGAGTCATTACATTTAGTTGAGTATTGCAAATCACCGCCATTTAGTGTCATTGTCATTGTTTTACAATGATGTGGGAGAGTCGTTTCCGGAACAGGAAGGTATTGCATGGTTCAGTCACATGGATTTGGTAGATCGGGGGACTGTTGGACCAGTGGAGATGCTGTGCAGTTTTAACTTGCATGACATCTTGTGTGGCAGAACATGGATTTCTTGGTTTGTACTGAGACATGTTAGTCCAGAATGGTGGGATTTTGGCACTGGGGTTCTCGTGCAGCCCACTTTCCAGGGTTTGGACAACAAGATAACTAGTAGATGCCAACAGGTACATGAAGAAATGCTCAACATCGCCAGCTGGCAGGGAGATGCAAATCACAACCTCAGTGAGGCATTACCTCACACCTGTTACAATGGCTTTTCTGGAAAAGGCAAAAAATAGTAAACAATGCAGACGTAGAGAAAAGGGAACCCTTGTGCACTGTTGGTGGGAATGTGACTTGGTGCAGCCACCATGGAAACCAGTGTGGAGGTTCCGCAAAATAGTGAAACTGTGTGACCCAGCAGTTTCACTTTGGGGTGTTTATTTGAAGAAAATGAAAACACTAACGTGAAAATATGCATGCACTCCCATGTTTATTGCAGAATTATTTACAGTAGCCAAGACATAGAAATAACGTTAGGTGTCCATTGATGGATGAATGGATGAAAAAAATAGTGAGAGAGAGAGATATACATATTATTCAGCCATTAAAAAAAGAATAACATCTTGGGTTTTGCGACATTATGGGTGGAACAATAAGTCTGAGAATCACAAATGCCATAGGATACATGTGGAACCTAAAAAAAAAACAGCCTAAACTCACAGACACAGAGACTAGATTGGTAATTGGCAGAGGCATGGGGGGCTGGGCTGGGCCAGATGGGTGAGGGGGTCTAAAGCACAAACCCCAGTTGTACAGGAAGCAGGTCGTGGGGATATAAGTGCAGTGTGGCGACTCTAGGTAATAGCACTGTGTTTCGTAGTTCAGAGTTGCTCAGGGTGCAGAGCTGAAAAGTCCTCATCGTAACAAATTTTGTACCTGAGTATGGTGACTGCTGTTCACTAGACCTTCTGTGGTGATTGGTTTACAGTGTATACAAGTGTCAATTCTGTCATACCCCTGAAGGTCACACGATGTTACGTGTCAATTACACCAGAAAGAAAAAAGGCTAACTAGTTGGTATCTGCTCAACCAAAAGGAAGTGCTGATTCAGGGTGTGTTTTCTTCAAATTATAACCAGTTTATGAGTCACCTTTTCCCTCTACAGTGGTATTTTTTAAACAATGAAGAGCAGTCTACCAGAAAGGTCATTTTAGGGGGTCACGACCTGCCTTTTGAGAGATGCAGTACAGAAGAATAGAAAAACAAATCATGCATCCCCTCCAGGAACTCCATTTTGCTTTATGAAACAGTACACATTGCTGTGTGTGCCCTGGATCACCACGTAAAACGTAAGTGTATCTCTTACCGCTTGAAGTCAGAGACATAACTGTCAGGTGTGGAAATCCCAAACTATACCCTTCATTCTGGGAGTGCGACAGAAGAGGGGAGGTGAGAACAAAGTACATCGGCCAAAAGTGCACAGCTGGCCCTAAGTCTTTGCCCCACCGCCCCAGGCTGACGGTCCAGCACTGTTCCAGGTGGGAAAAACGGCAAGCACTCAGGTGCCAGCCATGGTTATTATTGCTCTGTGGGTATAAAGTAATAACTCATCTAACTCCTCGACTCCGTTCTGAGTAACTTGCCAAAGACCACCCAACTAGAAGAGGGAGAGTCTAGTGTAATTTCAGAGCAGTGTTCCTGCCCCCCAGGACGTTCTGGTGGCTGTCCCTACTTGGCTTTGTGCTGGCCTGAGGGTAAGCAGCAGCAGGGGCCTGCCTCCCACCTCCCCCAGAAAGCCTTTCTCCATGGGAACAGGAACCTTCTGACTACCTTTCTGCCCCCACGCATCAGTGTTGTCCGTCTTCAGGTTGTCTACTCACCATTAAGGTTTTTTTTTTTAAATTGTTCAAGTACAGCTGTCTCCATTTTGCCACCACCACTTCCCCCCGTCCCCCCCACGCCCCCCCACCTCCCACCCTCAATCCTTCCCCCTTCTAGCTTTGTCAGAGTTCCTTCACAACCCTTCCCCTTCTTTCCCCTGTTGTCCCCCTCCCCCCGCCCCTCTGTCAGTTACTGTCAGTTTGTTCCCTATTTCAATGTCTCTGGTTACATTTTGCTTGTTTTGTTTTGTTGATTAGGTACCACTTATAGGTGAGATCATATGGTATTTGTCTCTCACTGCCTGGCTTATTTCACTTAGCATAATGCTCTCCAGTTCCATCCATGTTGTTGTGAAGGGTAGGAGCTCCTTCTTTCTGCTGTGCAGTAAATGTACCACAGTTTTTGATCCACTCATTTACTGGTGGGCACTTAGGTTGCTTCCAGCACTTGGCTATTGTAAATCGTGCTGCTATTGTTACAGAAATGTCACACGGGAAGATGATGAAGCACAAACTTTATTACCCGGGGGGGCTCAGAGGAGAATCCCAAATTCTGGGCCCCAAATCCAGGCTCGTCACAGTTCCTTTAAATACTTGTTACAAGGCAAAGGGGGGGGGGCGGAATTCATCTGCTAAAGCAAGGGAGCATACAGAGGCAGAAGCAGAACGAAGGTCAGCATTTCAGCCTTGAGATAATGTTACTTAGCAACGTCTGCTAGCTGGCTCCTTACCTAAAAATAACTTTTACTCAGCTTTTGTCCCGACAAAACTTGCAGGTGTCACAAAGAGCAGAGAGCCCCTTTATGAGACTTTCTACTTTCTTTTCCTGCCACACTATGAACATTGGGGTGCATAGGTTCTTTTGGACTAGTGTTTCAGGGCTCTTAGGTATAATCCCATCAGTGGAATTGCTGGGCTGTTTTTTTTTTTTTAAGATTTTATTTATTTATTTTTAGAGAGGGAAGGGAGGGAAAGAGAGAGAGAGAAACATCAATGTGCGGTTGCTGGGGGTCATGGCCTGCAACTCAGGCATGTACCCTGACTGGGAATCGAACCTGCGACACTTTGGTTCTCAGCCCGTGCTCGATCCACTGAGCTACGCCAGCCAGTGCTACTGGGCTGGTTTTTTTTAATCGAATGTTTATTTTATTTTTTGTTTGGATTAAAATTTTTTAAAACAGTTTTATTGAGGTACAACCGATAGGCCAAAAACTGTACATACTTAATGTATTCAGTCTGATGGGTTTGGATATACTGTATTTTTAGGACCATAAGATGCACCAGACCATTAAGATGCACCTAGGTTTTAGAGGAGGAAATAGGAAAAAAATTTTGAAGCAAAAAAATGCACTAAAGTATTTAATAACCTGTGCCCCCGCTCCACCACTGCCCCCCCCAACAGCAAGCCAGGTAAGCTACATTCGACCTATAAGATACAGCCCGCTTTCCTCCCAAATTGGGGGGTGTGTGTCTTATAGTCTGAAAAATACAGCATGCGCACACTTGTGAAACATTAGCACAATCAAGGAAATAAAGATCCATCACCTCCAAAAGCTTCCTCGTGCCCTGTTTTGTTTCTGTGGTACGAAGACTTAACGTGAGACCTACTGTCTCAGCAAGCTTCTCATGTGCGCCACACGCACAGTGCCGGGGTGCTGGCTGTGTTGAGCAGCGGACCTGCAAAGCTGAAGTTTTGTGCCCATCGAACAGCGGCTCCCCACCCCCAGGCTCTGGAGCCCTCCGTGTTCTCTGAGATGGAGTGTCCTGGAGACCTTCAGTGGGTGGGGCCATGCAGCATTTGTCCCTCTGCGACTGGCTTCCTTCAGCTAGCATGATGTTCTTTGGTTCATCCATATTGTGGCAGGAGTTTTTTCTTTTTTTAGGGCTGAGTAACATTTCATTGTATTTCTGTACTACGTTTTTTTAATCCATTCACCCATGTGTGGATTCACACCCAGGCTATTGTAAGCAATCCTGCAGTGACCCCGGTTACTGTTAAGTTCTAAAGTGCTTTGCCCCCAGATGCTCAGCTCTGTACGAAGGCTCTGACCCTGATGGAATCAGTGCAGCATCCCACTGGGCCTTTTCCCCTTCTTGTGAGATCCTCCAGCTCTCTGCTTCCCTTCCTGGCACTGACAGGACTGGTGTCCATCTTGGACACTGTGGTGGTAACTTCATTACCAGTTAACTTCCCTCTACCTACGTCCAAACCTGGTATGGATGGACCAGCTGTTCCCTGCTCCTCTGTTCTGAAAGGATGGCACCACGGGAACTTTCCACAGGTGAAAGCACAAATCCACTCAGAAGGTAGGTACTATTGGGTTCTAATTTTCAACTTCTTTATTTATATCTAAAGGCAGTTGTCCCAGGCTCTCTCCTTTAACCCATATACTCCTCCTCTTCGTCAGGCAGACAGCTCCTGCCATTCACAAAGAGGAGGAGGGCCGGCAGGGACACCCTCCCCATCCCAGGAACTGGCTTCACTGGTTGGTTTACTGTGTCAGCCTAGATCCAATTAGGAGAGAGAAACTACACAGTAATTCAAACAGGAAAAGCTTAAGATAAAGAATTACTAAGTATAATAGTAATGAGGAACTGGCTGGTGAGCAATAAAGAGAACTCTAAAAAATACAAGAATAGCAGATAGGTGGATCAGCCACCACCCCTAGGGTTGAGATAGAGCCCCCGACAGCTTTGCCTTGAGCTGTGAGCAGACTGTGTTGGAAGGTCAAAGCCATACCTCAGTGAAGGGCAGGGTTTGGTTTTGTTTTTCAGTTAACAGGAGACAAAGTCAATCCAAAATGAACTGGTGAGGGATTCAGGAAAGTGAATACAATGAAACCCCAGAAAAATTTGGGGTATAATGGGAATGATGATGGCTCTTGTCCTCTGCAGGACACTCTTCCAAAACTTGAACTTGGCCATAAGTCATACAACCCCTTGTGTTGA